GACGCAGGGCCTCTGGAGACACGTCTGGGGGTGAAGTCGGGGAAGCAGGGCTGCAGAGGGTAACTCGGAGGCTCTGAGGCCAGAGCTCAGCCTGGAGCTTGCCAGGTGCCAGGCACTGCCAACCTGTTGAATGCTGACTTCCTGCGGCCTTGCTCCTGGACTTAGGGAGCATCCTGAAGTGCAACTATTCAGATTTACTGACAGCATCCGGAATCTCCTCAGCCAGCACTAAATACAGCCAGCGAGGCCCTTGACAAGGTCAAATGCAGACTGGGCTGGCACTTGGCACATGGCTCTGAAAGCGGAGGACCAACGAGAACACGATTCCTGGCCATTCTGAAACTGGACTAGCCCTCGTTAGTTCAAAGGGAAAAAAACCCTCCAGATTTCTCCGCTCCCATTTCAGAATGCTGAGAGAGGGGTAACCTCTGAGAAGAGACCTGAGAACAAAGTTGCTGAGATGGGCTGGCCGTGTGCTTCTGAGCAGCAGCAGCAGCAACTTCAGCAGCAGCCATGTCCACCCAAGGATCTCCCAAGCCGCTAAGCCGTCACATGTCAATTATGGGGGTACGAGGCACCTCCAGGGCTGCCTGAGGCCTGGGTTCCCTCCGCAGCCCCACGGTATGATTCACACTCGTACCCGAGAGCAGGAAGAAATGGCGGGATGCTTAAGATGCACTGAGCGCTTGTGGATGCAAAGCCAGAGGAATGGCAATTAGTAAACAGAAATCTATTTTTAAACTTGCGTCTCATCATTACAATTGCTAAAAATGTCCGTGGGCTATGGAAATTGATGCCCATGGCTGTTTTTCTTGCTTCTGTGGTGCCACAGATGCAGTGTTAAGGAACAGCTTCATGCTCTGGGAAGGGGAGAGGGAAAGAGAGGGGGTGAGAGTGAATGGAGTGCATCGTCTATGTGCGAAGAGATGGCACAGCAGACCTCCTCCCAAAAGTAAGGGTGATACATGACAAGGAACTGTTTCCAAAGCTCAGACTTCACTTCTGAAAACAATTAAAGATAGGCTGAGAGATGCTATCTAGCAGAAATAATACGTTTCCCAATACATCAGAAAAACAAGCTGTTAAATAAGTCAAAAGCCAGAACTGGTAGCTCACGCCTGTAATCTTACCTACTCAGGAAGCTGAGATCTGAGGATTATGGTTCAAAGCCAGCCCAGACAGGAAGGCCATGAGACTCTTATCTTCAGTTAACTATCAAAAAAACCTGGAAGTGGAGCTGTGGCTCAAGCAGTAGAATGCTAGCCTTCAGCAAAATTGCTCAGGGATAGCGCCTAGGTCATGAGTCATGAGTTCAAGCTCCACAACCAAAAAAAAAAAAAATAGTGGGCTGGGAAGTTGGCTCAGTGGTAGAGCGCTTACCTTGCATACCCGAGGCCCTGGGTTCGATTCCTCAGCACCACATAAGAAAAAAGCCGGAAGTGGCGCTGTGGCTCAAGTGGTAGAGCACTAGCCTTGAGCTGAAGAGCTGAGGGAGGGACAGCACTCAGGCCCAGAGTTCAGGCCCCCCGACCGGACCCAAAAAAAAAAAAAAAGTATATGAAAGCTAATTATTCAAGGACTTTCTACAAAGAAGGCCTAAAGGTAGCCCATCTGTGGAGAATTGACTTGGATATTCAAATTGTCCAAGATTTCTATGTGGCTTTCCATCTTAAAACCATCTAATTTCATTAGAATTAGCAAGATCAGCCTTTCCTCAGGGAACACATTTTTTTTTGGTCAGTTGTGGGGCTTGAACTCTTGACTTGGGCGTTGTCCCTGAGCGATTCACCTCAAAGCTGGTGCTCTACCACTTGAGCCACAGCGCCACTTCTGGTTTTCTGGTGGTTAATTGGAGATAGAGTCTCGTAGAGTTTCCTGGCCAGGCTAGCTTTGAACTGTGATACTCAGGTCTCAGCCTCCTGAGTAGCTAGGATGACAGGTGTGAGCAACTAGCGCCTGGCCATTTCTTTTTGACAGCTGTGGGGCTTGAACTCAGGCCCTGGGAGTTATACCTGAGCTCTTTTGCTCAAGGCTACCTCTACCACTTTGAGCCACAGTGCCATTTCCCGTTTTTGAGTGTTTAATTAGAGATGAAGTCTCAGGAGACTTTTCTGGCCAGGCTGGTTTAGAGCCACGGTCTTCAGATCTCAGCCTCCTGAGTAGCTGGGATTATGGACGTGAACCACCAGCACCTGGCAGGGAACACATTTTTGCTTTGTTATTTATGAAGTCGTTGCCTAGTTCCCCACATTTTTGCCCTTGGTTCTTAACAGTAGCTGTGTCTCCACATGGAGAATGAATTGAAACCATTTTGAACCAGCAGATAAAAATTGCGTGCTGACAATCGTCCGTGCGTAAGTACGTGTCCACACTGATCAACACCCATGTCAGGTTAACTCACTGTCTTCGTCTGTCATTTCCTTATGATGAAAACTTGGAAATCTTCTGTTCAGCTTTTGAAATGAACTGGAAAAGGACATTTTTATATAACTTATAATTTGTCCTTTTGACCTAATAATGGGTGCCACCCGTGTCTGGGACGGGCTCAGTGGTGGGGCTACCTCAGGTGGCTCCGGGCATTGCTGGCCGTAAAGAGAAACATCACTAAATGCACACGGCGACCCCTCTCCCCACTCCCACTCAGACTGAGGCATTAAGAACACCTTGATGTGATTTTTCAATATAGAAATCCACTGTGTGGATCCTTCTAGTCTTTTCCACGAAGAGGTGGTCCTCTGGCTATGACGGGCTTGCCCTTGGGTCCTGGGTGGGGAAGAGGAAGTCTGTTTTCGTGATACACAACAGAGCTCCTGGAGGCCAAGGGGAGAGGCCCCAGATGCACTTACTTCTGTCCTGGGGAGAGGCGGGCTGTCACGTGACGAAGTTGGCTGCACGTGCTGGGCATCTTTGTAATCCCAGCATCAGGGAAGTGGAGGCAGGAAGTTTTTAAGTTGGAGTCCAGCCTGAGCTTCATAGTGAGCTGCCACTGTGTCAAAAATGAATTGGTAGTGGCTCACGCGTATAATCTTGGCCACTCAGGAGGCTGAGATCTGAGGATTGCAGTTCAAAGCCAGCCCAGGCAGAGAAGCTGATGAGATGCATCTCCAATTAACCACCAGAATATTGGAATTGGATCTGTGGCTCAAAGTGATAGAGTGCTAGCCTTGAGCTAAAGAACTCAGGGACAGCACCAAGGCAGTTGAGTTCAAGCCCCAGGAGCGACAATACAAAAACCCCCAAAGCATATCACTTGATGAATTTTTTTTTTTTTTTTTGCCAGTCATGGGGCCTGAACTCTGGGCCTGGGCGCTGTCCCTCAGCTCTTCAGCTCAAGGCTAGCGCTCTACCACTTGAGCCACAGCGCCACTTCCGGCTTTTTTCTTTTTGCTTATGTGGTGCTGAGGAATCGAACCCAGGGCCTCAGGCATGCAAGGCAAGTGCTCTACCACTGAGCCATCTTCCCAGCCCCCCTTGATGAATTCTATATCACAAACCAATTGCTACAAATTCCTCCATGCAATCAAAGAAAAGGTACTGTATGGCCTGGGAATGTAGCTTATTGCCTAGCATGCCTGAAGCCCTGGGTTCAATTCCTCAGTACCACATAAACAGAAAAAAGCCAGAAGTGGCACTGTAGCTCAAGTGGTAGAGTGCTAGCCTTGAGCAAAAGAAGCTCAGGGACAGCACCCAGGCCGAGTTAAAGCCCCATGACTGACAAAAAAAAAAAATGTTAGAATGGGCTTGTGACTTTAACTAAGTATCAACTATCCCACAATACTGTGAAATTTATGTAATCACTTAATCACAATAAAAAATTGATATTAAAAAAATTCATACAGCGGGGCTGGGAAGATGGCTCAGTGGTAGAGCACTTGCCTTGCATGCATGAGGCCCTGGGTTCGATTCCTCAGCACCACATAAGCAAAAAGAAAAAAGCCGGAAGTGGCGCTGTGGCTCAAGTGGTAGAGCGCTAGCCTTGAGCTGAAGAGCTGAGGGACAACACCCAAGCCCAGAGTTCAAGCCCCACGACCGACACAAAAAAAAAAAAAAAAAAAAAAAAATTCATACAGAAAGGGGAAAAAAAACTCACTTCTAGAAAGGTCTCCTAGGGTTGGAGGTATGGCTCAGTTGGTAGAGCACAGAAAGGTATTTCCTAAGACTGGGTCAGAAAAACCTGACACAATGTTCCAAGTATAAAAATTACAGACATTGTTCTAAACCACCTAGGAATTTTACGTTTTTATTTTGAATAGAAAATCAGCTTGAGTTGGGTGCCGGTGGCTCACACCTGCACTCCTGGCTACTCAGGAAACAGATCTGAGGTCTGTGATTTAGTGACTGCCCAGGAAGGAAAGTTCACGAGACTCTTATCGTTAATTAACTACAGAAAAGCTGGAAGTGGAGCTGTGGTTTGCCAGCCTTGAGTGAAAAAGGGACAGTACCTAGGCCATAAGTTCAAGCCCCAGGACTGGCACAAAACACAAACAAACAAAGACAACTCTTATTTTGGGGTTTGGGAAATCTTTTTCTGCCAAGGGCCATTTGCAAATTATAACATCATTCCCAGGCCACACAAAACGATCAATACAGGCAGATCATTTGAAGCATACATGGCCATCCTCCTTCACGCAGCAAGTGAGGCTGGGCACTCCTCTCTCGGGCCAGACTTCTGCTGTTGAAGGACCACAGCATGGCTCCTGCTGCCTTCCCCTCCCCCAAGCTGCAGGCCACGGTGCTGTCCTTCTGAGCAAGCCCAGCACTCGTCAGGTCCTCGTTGCCAGCTGTGTTTGTTTTCACCCACAACCGAAGAGGTGGGTTGTGTGACAGTGTGCTGAGTTCATGTGGAGAGGGTCAGCAGAGCTCCTGCACCAAGCACCAACTCAGCCTCTCGGGCCCTGCGGGGTGCCAGCGCTCCATGTGTGTGCCCCACCCTGGGGTGTCTGGAGACCAACTCAACCAAGGTTAAAAACTCAGACACACTCAGTGGAGTATGGTTTTTTTTTTTTTTTGTTTAATAGTTCATAAGCCTTAAAAAGTATTCTCTCCAGATTATAAAAGGTTAATTAAAACAGTTTAATAGGAACAATCTTGGACAAGCATAAACAGCTTTGATTTGGAAGATTAGAGCAACGCATGGCTGAGGACCCGCAGGACTGGGTGGCCTGCCCCTCTCCCGTGCCCTGTACTCGCAGACCGGACGCCCTGCCTCCGGCACGGCACATGCCACCAGCCGTCAGCTACCCGCGAGTACATACGGCATTCTGTTCGCTCCAGAAGTAGGCGTCCCTCTCCATGGTTGCAGGTACTGGGGCAGTCACGCGGCCAGCCTAGCACAGGTGCAGAACTGCTTTATTGATCTCGGGGTTCGTCCAGTCATTCCGAATGTCATCCAGGTGGTTATCGAAGTCCACGAGCGTCTCGTAGGACCGGCTGTCCAGCAGTGATGCCGAGATCCTCTGCGCCTCTGGCCAGTCTTCACAGTAGTCACTGCAGGGCAGATGTGGAAAAGTCAGTCTCTGTACAGCGTCTGGGTGCAGACCGCCCACCCACAGGCTGTGTGGAGGATAGGGCCGGGTACTAGGTCACACTAAGAGACTGGCCATGCTGAAGGTGGAGGCAGATAGCTGGCACATTCTGGGGGTTAGTACGTGGTGCCTGGGGTATGGGGCAGGAAGGTCTGCAGTGCCACCCTGACTCCCTGTGCTCTTTGAAGCCCATGGGCCCCAGTCCCCGAGGGGCAGGGGGGACACCTCTGCAGCGCACGTCAGCGCCCGGCCAGCAGGGTAGGCGCCCCACTCACTGGTGTGGGTCTCTGCACCGCCATCTGTTCTCGTGGTGCTCGTACACGTGGATCGTTGGTGCTACGCAGTCCATTGTGAACCTGGTGTTGTCCACCTGAGCACAAGAACACAGCATGAACACAGTGCTGGGCCAAGAGCCAGTGGCAGGCCCCTCCTCAGGACTTCCCTGCCGCCTAGGATGTGTGAGTTGGGGACCTGGACCCACACCTCAAGAGAACCTTGCTGCGGGGGTATTTGGAGGGGAGAAGAAAGGAGAGGAGAAGAGCGGAGTGGAATGGAGCAGAGCAGAGTGAGGCTCCCAAACCAACTTCCTCCCTCACCGTTCCAATGGGGACGGCCTGGCCTCTGGCTCCCTCCACCCGGGAGCCGTGCGGGCTCTCCTGTTCCACTGGGACTCGCATGTGAGGACACCAGAGGCACCGGGAAGGGGGCCAGCCCCACTCCACTGTTCCAGAGCCAGGAGATCTGGCTGGGGCTCTGAGAATCTGTTTTCAAGAGCTTCCCAGTGACATGAGATGCGGATAGGAGATTTACCACGTGGATAACTGAGTTTGAACCCCCATCCCCACATTTTGCTGGAGCAGTGTTCAAACCACTGCCCTCATCTGCCACGAAGCTGCAGCCAGCGGGGGCACCGCAGGTACACCAAGGTGCGCCCACCCCCAAAGCAACCGACAAGATGTGTGGTGAGGCCCGTCAGAAGGCTGTGTGAGCACCACCCTGAAGCACCGGCGACTTACCATGATGAGCGCGGGCTCGCTGAAGCCCTCGGCAATCCTGGATGCCACCTTTTCTGCTACCTGGTTTGGACTGTGGAGAAGGGACAGTGAGTTCTACCCAGTTCTGGTCAGTGTCATCATCTTGTCTCCACACACATAAGCAGTTCCCCACAGTGATACTGGGTGCACTTTCGGGTTCCCCAGAGGTGACTGTGAGAACAGGAATGCCAGCAGGACAAACGTGGCATCCTCTGCTTTTGTTACCTTTCAGGCAGGCTCTCGTGTTTTTGCCTGACCACCCTCTGAAAGTAATCTTCAACTCCGGAAGGGGGGGTGGATTATACATATGAGCCACAAAGTCCTGTCTGGTTTTGTTTCCCCTGAGACAGGGACACACACCCACACAGTCTTAAGAGTGCCCTGATTGTTACGAGTTGAACATGCAACAGGGGTGGGGACACGGCTCACTGGCTGTGAGCTAGAATGTCCGAGGACATTCTCAGCACCACAAAGAAAACAACTTAATTACAAAGACGATTACACCCAAGTTGCAAAAAGGGCAGCATATACCAACAAAAACCACCCAATTTATCTCATTCTCTTCATTTTAAAACTGGGAATTTCAAGGGATGTTCTAAATCCACAAAATGATGTGAAAGAAAATAGAATGGTAAAGAAAAGAGCAGAAGTCAACCCTTCCTCCATGAGCCAGCCAGAGCGCAGCCCAGCCAGCTCTGCCCTCTACTAGCTGACCTGCAGACCCCGAAGCCCCCATCAGCAACTGCTCCTTTATCTGTGTAGCCCATTCTTAAACTACCGTTTCAGATGTCCAAGAACTCTAGTCTACAATTTATACTTTGGAAAGATGTTAATGAAATGTTATGTAACAAATTATCTAAGTATTTGAAAGTCACTCGCTGTGGTTGCTTTTTTGTACTGGGCATTCAGGCTTTAGACATAGAAGCCACAGAAGGTTCTCTCAGTGCTGAAGGATGCGCGGTATCCTGAAGGGAGAGCCTGTGGGTAAATCCTTGTTGCCAATCAGCATGACGTGAGGCATTTCCGGATGTCTTGTTTTTGTTTCTTTGGTGGTGGGCTTTGACCTCTGGGCCTGGGCACTGTCCGTCAGCTTTTCCGCTCAAGGCTACTGCTCTACCATTTGAGCCACAGCACCACTTCTGGCTTTCTGGTGGTTAATTGGAGATAAGAGTCTCACAGACTTTTCCTGCCCAAGCTGGCTTTGAACGGAAATCCTCAGAGCTCGGCCTCCTGAGTAGGTAAGATTATAGGTGAGAGCCACTGGTGCCCAGCTAACAAGAGATGTCTTATAAAAGCTTTTTATTGAGGCCAGGGAACTCTGGTGGCACTGAATGCCATTCTCGTGTCTCACGTTATATCACCCTGTCTTTATTGCCAGTGAGCTGAGACCTCTTAGTCTGACCACAGAGACCCAGGCCCAAGTTACAATTAACTAATTGTAAGTAAATAAGATTTGAATCCAAGGGCTGGTAATGTGCCTTCCTGGTACAGTGCTTGCCTAGCATGCATGAAGTCCTGGATTCGATTCCTCAGTACCACATACACAAAAAAAGCAGAAAGTGGTGCTGTGGCTCAAGTGGTAGAGCGCTAGTCTTGAGCGCAGAGAGGGTTAGGGACAGTGCCCATGCCCTGAGTTCAGGCCCCATGACTGGCACACACACAAATTTTTTTTTTGAATCCAAGTCTACTTGGCTCTAAGTCTTATGCTATGAGACACCGCTAATCAGGTGATATCTCTACAAGAGGAAGCTTATAGCTGGAGGTACAAACAGCATTTAAGAACGAAGAAAGCATGTGCTTAACTCCTAACCCTTCAGCAACATTGCCTATGTCACTGTCCCTGGCTCTCTCCTCTGAGTGGCACCCTGGTGGGGCGGAAGGAACCCAAGGCTCACCAAATGTCTCTGCAGCGAATGGTCCACTGCTCCCTAGAGCTGGCCACACTGCTGGCTGTATTGCACTCCTGAGTGGAGCAGGTGGAGGAGGAATCTATACTTGGCAAGGCATAGGGAAATTCTAGAAGGCTGAACAGCACAGAAATGGCATCCGAGTAAGATAAGATTCCAGACTGAGCTGGAAGGAGGTCCGAAGAGTGGCAGGAATGTGAAGAGAAGAGCCAGGTATCTTTCACAGAAAGGAAAGGAAAAGGGAACCTGTGTAGGTAGACCACTGTGGCCCTGGAAGGTTGGATTCTGGAGCGACAGCCAAGGGAAGGGAGGCATCCACACTCCATGAAAATTGCCGTGCTCCCGGCCGTCTCCTGTCTCCTCTGTAAAGTGGATGTGGAAAACCCTGTGGGTCCAGGCCAGCCTCTTGCCAGCTCCCTACTGCCTATGAGATGAAGGTCAAGATGCTTTCAGCACCATGGGTCCACTTCATGTGGCCCTCATGGGGGCACAGCCTGCTCCTGCCAGGTGCCCGCCTTGGGGTTTCATCCCTCCATCTCTAACCCTCGGACCCCACATCTGCCCACTCTCAAGGGGCCTGGTTCAAAGGACACCCTCCGCTGGGCCTCATGGGTCATACTGCTGGGTGCAATTCCTCCTGGCTCTTCCACACAGAGCTCGGCCAGATGGCAGGAGGGATTGTCTGGGCTTTCCCAAGCTCTCTGATGGTCCACCCCTGCCAGCCTCTTGCTTAGAGGGACAGCAGAATCACCAATACAGAGGGAAGCAGATGTAACTGAATGGGACGTGCCAGAGGTGTGAGATGAATGAGACAGGTTGAGAGAGAAAAGAGGGCCGAGCATGGGCTCAGGACAGCCCTGCACATGGGGCTCCCGTGAGAGCCCCGCAGCCCCGCAGACGCCTCACTAGACTCGCCACAACAGTGCTCACTGCTTCTGCTTCCCTCAGGCTCTCTAGACCCAGTCATCCCGGGAGGAGACAGACACAATTCTGATGGGCAGAGCTCTCGGTGCCTCACAGAGAAGCTTCCGACTAGGCTCAGCAAAGGAAGCCCTGGAAGTTACTGGAAGTTACTAGTGGAATGGCAGGAAGATATCAGGCTCTGACTGATCTAGGCCTCCCAGCCTGATGTAGAGTCAGGCAAGATGTTGGCCACATCCCTTGGTCAAGGGGTCCTGCTCTTCTGGAAGTGGCCTTCCCTGTCCAGCTCTTTTCCAGCCATCAGTGAAGGCCTCAGGAATTCTCTTTTCTATGGCCGTGGGCTGCCCACTTGCTCAGCTCAGAGCGTGTCCTCTGACGGCCTCTGGTGGGTGCAGACAGACAGTAAGCTTCTCAGCTTTCTCACGGGTGGGAAAACCAGTGGAATCTCCAGAGGGAAGAACAGGGGGTCGATTTAGGGCAGCAAAGACCGCACTTTCACCGCAGTAACAGTTCCAAAGCACAACCCTAGCGGCACTTGGTAGGAAATGTGGGGACAGCAGCTGGAGGGGAGGGGGTAGAGGCTGACGGCCTCTGCTGCTGGACTCCAGCGGCAGTGCTGCCCAGTCAGGGGAGGAAGACCACCCTGTCCCCTCTTCTCTGTGTCCTGCTCTCTGCACACAGCACCGAGGGCAGGGAGCCCTGGTGCTCACCAGTGGCAGAAGCGGAGCCTGTGGAGGGAAACAGGCTGCCTGCTGCATCCTCTTCAGAGTTTGTATCCACATACCTGGCATCCTTTACTCGCTCATTAGCTTGGTAATAACCAGCAATCACATAGCTATTATCTTTGCACCAAGAGTCAATCTGAAAGAAGAACACAAATGGGGGAAAAAAGATGAATGGCTCTCCCTTGAATATCCAGTTTCATAACCACAAGAAACCCCCTCCCCCGCTGCAATACACACACAGGGACAAGACAGGAGCAAATAATCCTCCTATCCTTCTCTCTAGGAAATGGTACTCAAAGGGAAAAAAATCCACCTAAGTCACAGGTAGAGAAAGGCCTTGGAACAGCTGGACAAAGCAGAGGCCCTTGACAGGTGCTAAATGGGTGCAGTGCCAAGGAAACAGAATGGAACACCACCATGGCCCAACATCCCTTACAGCACAGAACACTTGGGTGTTCTAGGGCGCTGCTCAGGGGAAGTGCTGTGCAGGCCAGGAAGCTAAAGCATGCAGCTCAGGTTTTGAGTCTTGCAGCTAGGCAACAGACAGAGCCAGCACAAGACCAGGGGCTCAGCTTCTTAGAACCAAGTGCTCCATGACAAGATGCCGGCGCTTCTAGCAACACTGCATGGAGTGCCTTTCACACCAGATGTAAGGTAGAGAGGCACCACAGCAGGCAGGGCAGGTGGAGTGCAAGTACCCGCACACTTGATTCTATGTGGTGTGCTTCTAAATGGGAGCTGGCACAGACCTTGAACACTGTTGTTTTATAATACCACTCTCTTCTCTCATCACATTTGGCTTCCTGCAGGTCTAATGCTATTATTACAAACAACAGAAGGTCACCCTGGTTGGCCATAATGGAATTTTAATATACTAATAAACTCCATTCTCTGTACAAGAGGAAGCAAAGTTGATACCTTGCTTTTTTTGGGGTGGGGGTGGTGTATGTGGTTAGAAATAGCCTTGTTCCACAGCCCTGGAATTCATGGTTTTCCACCTTCAGCCTCCTGAGTGCTAGGATTACAGGTATGCACTATCCAGCTCCATACCACACTTCTTTTCCTTGCAGTGAATTAACTGGCTAAAAATATGTCAACGAGGCGTGGTGATGCGTGCGCACAATCTAGCAGGCTGGTGGACTGACTGACATGGAAGGATCATAAATTCAAGGCCAGTCTGGACTGCACAGTGAAACCCTGTTTCAAGAAACTAAACATGAGCCAAGTGCCAGTGGCTTACAACTGGTCATCCTAGCTGCTGAAGAGGCTGAGATCTGAGGATCAAGGTTCAAAGACAGCCCGGGCAGGAAAGTCCATGAGACTCTTATCTCCCATTAACCACCAGAAAACTGGAAGTGATGCTGTGGCTCAAGTGGTAGAGCCCTCACCTTGAGCTGAAGAGCTCAGGGACAGTGCACAGGGCCAGAGGTCAAGCCCTACAACCACCACGACCACCACCAACAAAAAACCTAAACATGAATGCCTGCCCAGAAAGTGCGGGCTCCGAGTTCAAACTCGAATACCAATAACACCCCTTCAAGATACCCTCAATAACAAAAATGTGGTGTGTGTGTACATGTGTGGTATGGCTTGGCGTGTGCTTCTTGGTTTAGGCCTCTGACAGTCTCCTCCAAGACTAAAAGCAGACATTGTAAGACAGTTACATACAGCCCAAGAGCCCCTGGCTCCCACAAGGATTAGAATGTTTCTGGTCTCCTAAGAACTAAAAAAATTACCATATTGAGTCAAAACCAGGGCTCACGGAAACAAATTAGAGATTCTGGTCATCCACCCAAAAGATCAGGGTTAAACCCCAGATATTTCTAGCGGCCGTCCCTGTGAGCCTGCCACAACTCCTTCCACACCAGCCGTTTCCATCGCCTCTTAAGGGAATAAGCTCTAGGAACTCTTCCTGCTTAGAACGCCTTTCATTTTCCCCTTCAATTTATCTCCATACAGCATCAAATGGCCTTGCTCTAAATTGGGATTTGGCCTTTCCCCGACCTCAAGCCTGCAGTTAGCTCATTGGTCTTTTAGTGTAGTGCTTCCAGGCTCTGTTCCCAATCAAAGCTGTTTCTTTTCTTTTCTCTCTTTTTTGGGCAGTAATACAATTAGAACTCAGGGCCCTGTGTCTTGCTGGACAGGCCACACCTCCAGCCTTTTCTGCTTTAGTTACATTTTTTTTTAATGGGTCTTGCATTTTAGCCTGGGCTGGGCTAGACCCTGATCCTCTACTTGTTCTTGTAGAACCGGGATGACAAGTGCCCATTACCCTATCACCAGGTGAGACAGGGTCTTGCTTACACCGCTAACTTCCCTCTTCCTGATCTCCATGTCCAGAGCAGCTGGGTTAAGATGTGTGCCATCACGCCCAGCCAAAGCAGGGCTCCTGATCCAAAGTCCTTACTGGAGGTGATCCTCGCCTCCACCCAGCTGTCCTGTAGTTAGCATGGCTGCCTTTACTTCAGTGTCAGTTCTGTTACTATTTGGTTTCCTATTTCCCTTGTAACAAGTGTCATGAGTGCAGTGGCTGGTAAAAGTTGTTTTTTTTTTTTTTAACATCTTACAGGTCAGCGGTCTACAATGGGCGGGCAGGGTGGGAGCCTTTGAGAGCCTTTTCCAGCATTCATTCCTGATCATGGCCACTTCACTCTCACCTCTGCTTCTGTCTTTACTTCCCTGCCCTCTTACAACCCTAGGCCTGCATGGAAAACCCAAGATGCTCTATCTATCCTAAGTACTCAATCGCACCTGCAAAGCCCCCTAGTCTGGGGTCTACTCCCCTGGATGACAGCTTCCGTGTAGCAGTTGTCAGGCTCTGAGATTCCCCAGTCTAAACTGGCTCTGCATCAGTTTCCAGGAGGGAAGCCAGCAACACAAGACTGGTCTCCCAGTTCCCCAGACGCCAATGGTGTCATCGGATAAGAGACAGCACCTGACACCCATGACGGCTCCTGAGAATGTGCAACACACACCTCAGCCTGCATTTTGCCTGTTGAAGACAAACTCCAGCAGAAATAACGACATGCCCTGAAACTTCTAGAAGTCTGTGAAGAGGTTGCACTTAAAATGTATACCAGGTCACAAAAGCTCTTTAGGAACCCTTTTTTTTGGGCCAGTCCTGGGGCTTGAACTTAGCCTGGGCACTGTCCCTAAGCTTCTTTTGCTCAAGGCTAGCACTCTACTACTTGAGCCACAGCACCACTTCTGGCTTTTTCTGTGTATGTGGTACTGAGGAATCGAACCCAGGGCTTCATGCATGCCAGGCGAGCACTCTATCACTGAACCACAGTCCCAGCCCTCTTCAGGAACTTTGGAATGACGCAAACAATAACCAAGCCCACTGTACAATGCCTAGGGCAACATGAACAACTTGTCTACTAAGTGAGGAACAAAAAGCCGCCACAACTCAGAGGCAGGGTAAGTTAAGTTTCAATAAGTGGAAAAGTTAGCCAGGTGTGGTAGCTCATAACTAATCTTAGCTACGTGGGAGGCAGAGATCAGGGGATCATGGTCCCGGGCCAACCATAGGCAAAAAGTTTGAAGGACCTCATCTCAACCAATAAAAGCTAGGTATCATGGTACAAACCTGTTATCCCAGCCACATGGGAAGCATAAATAGGAGGACTGAGGTCCAGGTTGGTTTGACCATACAAGTGAGACTCTATTTGAAAAACTCCTGAAGCAAAATGGGCTGGAGGGAGGTGGGGTGGGAGATGGTGAGGAAGGGGGGAGGTGGGGTGGGGTGGGAGATGGTGAGGAGGAGTGGTAGTGGAAGGCAGGGTGGGCAAGCAGGTCTGGGGTGCAGGTTGGTTTGACCATACAAGTGAGACTCTATTTGAAAAACTCCTGAAGCAAAATGGGAAGGGGGGAGGTGGGGTGGGAGATGGTGAGGAAGGGGGGAGGTGGGGTGGGAGATGGTGAGGAAGGGGGGAGGTGGGGTGGGAGATGGTGAGGAAGGGAAGGGGGGAGGTGGGGTGGGAGATGGTGAGGAGGAGTGGTAGTGGAAGGCAGGGTGGGCAAGCAGGTCTGGAGTGGCCTTGGAGCCCTGTAGAAAGGTCAAGATATGCCCGTGAAAAGTGGGAACAGAATTAAGTAGTCCATACCATCAAGGTGACTTGCTCCCTCCCTTTCAGGCATGGACAGACTAGGCGTAATGACACTCCTGACTATGCCACACACCTTGTGAAGAAAATCAGAAGGAAAATACAAGTTCATGACTAACCACAGTTCAGTGAAACTTGCTAGTTTAATAAAAGCAACCGAGTGTCTATCTTTGAGCACGCCTGCACTTTTCAGAATGACCTTTCAACGCTCTGGCATAAGTCCATGCCCAGGTTGACTTGTTCCAGGTTAGACCTGTGCCAGGGCCAGACCACTTACATCCCCTGGACTGAAAAAAGAAGACAGCTTCTCTCTGCACATCTGCTCACATTTGGCATGAGTCACTCTAATGTTCTCAGTAGGCAAACTAGGACCCGATAGAACAGCCAGGCACAGGGGGCGCTGCTCCTGATCTTGCAACTAGTAGACTTAGGCCTCAAAGCAGGGGGCTGCCGTTCCTCCAAGGACAGCTCTGCCTCTAATCCACTGCTGACCTTCCCAAGGAAGGGGAGGGAGGTAGACGCATGAAAGCAGAGCTCCAGCGCTGGAAAGAGTGTCCGTGAATGTGCTGGGATGTGGTTAAGGGCAACAGCCTGCAGAGGAGGCAGAGCAGGAAGGACTGTCCTGAAGCCACGGTGCCTGCCAGCTGGTGAGGAAGAGCCGCGGGAGCCGCTCTGCCATCAGAAACCAAGGCGAGGGGAAAAAGGACAGAAAGGGCTTAGGGGAAACACAGGTTTATGCTCATTTCCCTACTGACATTTTATGGGTTTTTGCTATTAGGAATAATTCCTTTACTATCTACGTCACAGGGCTAGAAGGGTAAATAAGATAACAGGCGTTAAGTACTTAGAAAAAATAAAACCACCCAGAAACACAAGGATTTTTCTTTAAAATGGAAAATTATAACAAAAAAGCATTTCAAAGGAATATTGCCTTTTGGTGGACTAGATGTTGTCAGTCTTTCCCACTTACCAAAAATAACTCCAAGCCGGGTGCTGGTGGCTCACGCCTGTAATCCTAGCTACTCAGGAGGATGAGGATCTGAGGATTGAGGTTCAAAGCCAGGCCGGGCAAGAAAGTCTATGAGACTTATCTCCCAATTAACCACCAGAAAACCAGAAGTGGTGCTGTGGCTCAAAGTGGTAGAGTGTTAGCCTTAAGCAAGGAGAGCTGAGGAACAGCGCCCAGGCACAGACAGCATTCAAGCCCCATGACCAACAAAACAAAAAAGCCCCCAAAGAACTCCAATTTGAAATTCTCTCAGGAAAGAGCCACGAGAATAAAGCCACTTCATTATAGAGTTGTAGGTATTTAGCTGCTTTGCTAAAAACTTCTTTCTGTGATTGAAACTCTGATAGACCCCTGCTGCAAATCCGAGATTATTCATGGCTGTCAGATTATAAAGATAATTAGCCGAAAGCAAACCACACAAATTGAAACAGCTTATTGTGATACTTATTTTTTTTTCTCTCCTGGTTGTGGGGCTTGAACTCAGGGCCTGGGCTTTTTGGCTCAAGGCTAGAGCTCAACTGCTTTAAGCTATTGCTCCTTTTCTGGTGGTTGATTGGAAATGAGAAGTCACATGGACTTTCCTGCCTGGGCTGACTTCGAACTGTGATCCTTAGGTCTCAGCTTCCTGAGTACCTTGCATTCTAGGCACCAATCGCCAGCACCTGGCTGCAATACAAAATTTCTGGACAGACTTGAATTGTGGGTTTTCTTTCATAACTTCATTTGCACTGGATTGTAATCCTTTTAGTATCTGTCAACTGCTGCAGCGGGACCCTAAGGACATGTGTGTGGGTTGCTGAGGTTGGGAGTTTGAGCAGTGTGACAGGAGGGCAGAGTGTGGGGACAGAACAAGCCCAGGCTCTCAGGCTGGTGGCAGCAGGGCAGCTTGGCTTTAGGGGAATTCTGTCTGGGCACCTTCCCTACCCAGGCAATTGGTCTGGGAGGCAGCCCTGCTCCTCAGGGAGTTTGTGTACAGGTTACTGAACATACTTGTTTACAGTCACCACACTCGATTCTCTTGGGTATTATGTTCTCACCCTAAATAGGAACATAACTCATTAGCTGTGCATAGGTTACTCAAGACTGAGAAGCAACAATGCACGCTCCAAGTTGGGCCCCAGTTTTCCTGCAGGAAGTTCTTCACATAGGACTTTGCTCCTGCCCTGTTGCTGCTCTTCAGCCACTTTTGCGCCTTCTTCCTCAACCCATTTCTCAGACTCCTCAGTGTTCCCAGGTCATGTGACCCAAGGCTTTAAGTCACCAGGCTAACCATTTTTGGAGCTCCAGACCCACTCTTCAGCTTCCAGCATGAGGGCTGAATGTGTGCCCATGACCTCCTGGCCTCCAAACCCATTCCCCTGCCATGCTCCTCAAATAAGTGGCAGCACAGAGCTAAACACAAGCTGGGAACCCAGCCCTGCCCTCTTGGATTCTCCCCTTCTTGGCATCCATGCTGGGCTTTTAGCCACCTCCTTGACTTCCTTACTTCTGCATTACCCCCAGACTGAAGTTGACTGATCTACAAGGACCTCTTAGAAGCCATCACTCTCTTTCCCTGCCCTTTACATCTACCTCTAGCTCTCCAGCCACACCTTTGGGGTCACCAGGGCTAGTGCACAACCAGGGTCTGCATGACCACCCCAACCTGCCTCCCCAGTCTGTGGTAACTGATTTTTCTTTTAAATCTCTCACCATTGTTTACTTACTAAGTCTCATTTTTGGCATTGAGTCTTCATAGTGTGCTATCAATTTGCTGCAAGCTCACTGGCGAATGAGAACTGTGTCAGGCCCACAGCCATATTATCTTCATTTAGTAGAAAACAGAATAGTCCTCAAAAATGCAACTGGTTTACTGGAAGTCAAAGCATGTCACTGATCCAAATGCTCTGAAGTTCCCCCTATAACTCAACAATCAAGATGGAAATATCTAGATTCAAGTCCCCAGGGATGTGGTAGGCATTGCTAGCACATTTTCCCCTCTAGGTACTAAAGGGGTCCAGTGTACAGATATTGTGTTCCCTGCTTGGAAATACAGAAAAAGTTCACAGGATGACTTTTTTAATCTTGACACTCAAAGATGTCACCCAGTAGCCCCAGGACAGATACACAGTTTGCCCAAAGGCATTTCCCATTTCCCTAGAACTTACTTCTTTGACCTAATTAGGTGAAGGAATGGACTCCGTTTACATACTGAGAAGCTCAGAGAAAGGATTTCTATCTATACTTTCTCAAACTTCTGCTGTGAATTAGCTGCCATTAAAAAAAAGGCACCCCAGTTTATCCTATTCAGGCAAGTCTCAGATTACAGTTTACTTCAGTGGAAATTTATACATTCCTCCCCGCTTTCACTGACCCCCACTTAACTGGAAATCTCCACCTAAAATCCCAAGTGCCATGGCTGGGCAGTGGCTTAGTGGTAGAGTACTTGCATAGCGTGCATAAAACACTGGGTTTGAGTCCTCCGTACCACATAAACAGAAAAAGTCAGAATTGGTGCTGTGACTCAAGTGGTAGAGTGCTAGCCTTGAGCAAAAGAAGCTCAGGGACAGTTCTAGGGCCGAGTTCAAGCCCAGGACTGGCAAAAAAAAACCCATAAAAAACCAAAAACCACACCCTCTCCCCAATTGCCAGCCAGGTACTGTGTGTGCTTTTTCTCACTGTCCTTCTCTATATAAAGTAGTCACTGCAAACAGAAACATAAAAGCATGTTGGGTAGAACATAAATCTGTTCTTGCTTTTCAGCTTTAAAGCCAGGGAAGCATTCTATGCACTATGGGGCTGTTCAAAGCTCAGGCAATTCAAGGGAGGAAGGACCGAGACGTCTTCCCCTGAGTCCCTGGTCCCCGGTGCCCTTGCTTAACCCACATGTGCCCAAGTCCCAACACCAGCCTATCTCCTGACACTCCAAGTCTTGGTGCAAACCTGGAAAGTGAAGAACAAGCGACCATTTCTTCCAAGATGCCAGGTTTCAGAACCTAATGTCCACCCGGGGTGCCTCTTCAGCCAAGTCCAGCTCATCAGGGTGAGGGCCACTTTCCCACGCTCAGCTTGGGCACCTTTTCAGGCCTCAGGCACACCAGGGTGAGGGCCACCTCCAGCATGGGCGCCAGGGTCAGCTCACCAGGGTAAGGGCCCGCTCTCCAGGGTGAGGGCCACCTCCAGCATGGGCGCCAGGGTCAGCTCACCAGGGTGAGAGCCACCTCACCAGGCTGAGGGCCACCTCCAGCATGGGTGCCAGAGCTAGCTCACCAGGGTGAGGGCCACCTCTAGCATGGGCGCCAGGGCCAGCTCACCAGGGTGAGGGCCACCTCCAGCATGGGCGCCAGGGCCAGCTCACCAGGGTGAGGGCCAGCTTACCAGGATGAGGGCCAGCTCACCAGGGTGAGGGCCACCTCCAGCATGGGCGCCAGGGCAGCTCTCCAGGGTGAGGGCCAGCTTACCAGGGTGAGGGCCACCTCCAGCATGGGCGCCAGGGCCAGCTCTCCAGGGTGAGGGCCAGCTCTCCAGGGTGAGGGCCAGCTCTCCAGGGTGAGGGCCAGCTTACCAGGGTGAGGGCCACCTCCAGCATGGGCGCCAGGGCCAGCGTGCCGTGGAAGAGCGGGATGCAGTCCACGAAGAGCGTGTGCGGGCCGCCCGGCGGCGGGTGCTCGCGGCGCGGCTTCTGCTTCTCGGCCACCAGCAGCCCGTTGACGGCGCAGTGCGGGTACTTGGCGCCGTGCAGCAGCATCTTGCAGTAGGCCTGGGTGGTCAGCTTCACCCCGGGCATGCTGAGCCGGGCGGGCCCCGCAGGCCCCGCGGGG